TGGGCCCCCCCCCCCCAATTACTATAGGATATTTTTAGGGAAGAGAAAGTTCTCTGCTCTTAGAACAATTTTCAAATAGGTACTGTTTGGTTTTAAAATTTACTTTTTCTAGAAGGCACCAACTATTGCTCAAATTTGGAACCACAAATATCATTTTCTATCAGCATATACAAATATTCATTTGGTGACAGACTTTAAAATAAAAAAATCTGGCTTTACAGATATGGGGCATAGAGTTTTTGCATACTATCTATGCACACTTTCTCTTGAAAAATACTGAGTTCCAGAATGTAATTTATTTTATAGTGTGTATGGATGGAAAAGAATGAAAAAAAGAACCAGTTAAATATTTTGGCACAAGTATTTCTTTCTGAGGTAAAGTTGGCTAAGAATGGGATCAATGTTGAAAATTTAAGTCTATAAGCAACTTATACATACTGATACTCGCATATCAATTTCATTTTTACAAAATAGGAATGCTGATATTTTTATACTGGTCTCCTTTCTACTGTGGGGGCTGTTCTGTGCTCTGTGGATGTTTGGGAGCCTCCCAAGCCTTCAACCACCGGAGGATACTTAGCACATACTACCCACATATCCCCTGAGACAGAACTGCCAATGATATCACAGAACAAAAATATTAATTTAACCAGTCAAGTAAATTATCCACATCTAAAAATTATAGACAAATCAAGTGGGCTGTGGCCTAGGAGTCACTCATTAAATCAAAAGCACTGAAGTTCCATTTTTTCCAAAAAATCAGTATTGCCTCTAATTGCCATTAGGTATTGTGATGTCACTAACTGTATTATCACATTTCAGTGATTGTTTAGAAAAATCCTTAATGCTTCCAAGCTAGATAATCAGGTCATCTTCACTTCCCAAAGGAAAATTATTCTATCGTTTTGAAGACAAGGATAGCACAAAGATAACATAAACTGGAAAAAGTTGAGATTTTTTGCAATTTCTATATCTGCAGCAAGACAGGGTCACGAGGCTAGATGATTAATTAGATCAAAGGGTGAGAAACGGTTTAGTAACAATGGCTGAGGTTTGTTTGATGAGTATGTGCAGTTAGGGGTGGATAAAGCTGCCTCTAAATTAGCCATTCAATTCATGAAAACTAATGAGAGAGATGGGGGGAGGAATGAGGGAGAGAGATAATAGGTATACTTTACCATCCCCAGGAATGATGCGGAGGGTAACTGTGTTTCCTGCTTCCTTGATTAGGTTGACAATGTCTGAATGGGATTTGTTGGTGATGGAACATCCATTTACCGCCAAGATCCGGTCTCCTACTTTCAGCTTGCCACAGCGGTCAGCAGGGCTCCCCTCAATAATCCGACCTATTTTGTGAGGCATAGCCACACATGCATTGCCTGCTTTGATATTGAGTTTTAATTTTGTTTTAAAGTTACGTGGGAATATAGTGAAGGGAGGAGAAAAAGGGTTGAAAAGGGAAAGAGAAGGTTAAGTGTTAATTAATTAAAGCATTAAGCAAATGTTATTAAAGGAGAGCGCTGAGCTGATGGTCAAAACATTGGCAATACTCAGGGCGTCCAAGAAGCCACTGCCCTGATACAGTCCTTTTCTGATTTAAAAATGATGGCAAAACCCCAGCTTCCTTACTTAAAACAATGACAAAATTTGGGATATTTGGCAACTTGAGTCTCAAGAGCCCAAAATAACATGCCATTGGCTTATTTGAGGGCTCCAACATGAACCACAGAGAGGGGGTGTTGTTTTCACCCATTCTGTGTTCCTGTCACTTATTTTTGCCAGCTGCTGTTTAAGATTCTGCCAATGTTTTGTTCTTTCTTCATTTAGGAAAATAATCACTGGACTTCTGGTGAGACGTAAGAGTCTGCTAGCACTAAAAATTCAATCTGAAAACACAAAGTGAACTAACACTTCTAGTTTTATATGCAGTGATGAAAGCTTTAGAAAAAATAAAAATTATCAGAAGAGAGCCAAGAAAGCCCTGGATACTGACACTTACTTAATTAGCCCATGTGTCATAGTTACTGTCAGCTTGAGACAAACCTAGGCACACCTGGGAAGAGGGAAATTGAGGAACTGCTTCCATCCAACTGGAGGCATGTCTGTTAGGCAATTTTAAAACTGGTAATTGATGGAGGAGGGCCCAGCCCACTGTGGGCAGTGCCAGCCCTACGCAGGTGGGCCTGGACTGTATAAGAAAAGCTGGAGGAGCAAGCCTATAAGCAGCTTTTTTCTATGGTCTCTGTTTCAGTTCCTGCTTTGGCTTTCCTTGAAGATGGATGGTGAGCTGTAAGCCAAATAAACCTTCTTCCCAAAACTGGTTTGCCAGTGTTTCATCAGAGCAATTGATGGCAAACAGGAATACCATGTCATGAGCTTTCAGTGCAGGACCTGGTGGCTCATTAGCTCTGATCTTCCTGCCTCACAAAAATTTCCCTTAAAGGGACATATTGAAAGTCTAGTACGAATTCAGGCTGAGGACCAAACCAAAGCTAGCCTCAATCTTATTCCTTTAATCATCATCTTTCTTGTTATCAGTTAACACATATATAAATAAGCAACACCAGGAAAAGGGAGCCGCAGAGGCTTGTTTACTGTGTGCTTGAGACCCTCCATTGGTAGAACTGGCTTTAAGGACTGATGTGGGATTCTCAGGTAATGGTACATTGAGGTCCAATGTCCCTTATGCAGATTTTTAGAATGTGTTTTCTCCAAACTATCAAAGCAGTTACATAGCTGAGTCACCTTTTAGAAAGGGGAGATGATGAAGTCAAGTGTGTAGACTCTTCCATTATAATTTAGACTTGAAGGGTAGGTAAACTGTGTGGGAAAACACACTTAGGCTCCTTTGAGTTTCAGTAGAGTACACTGAGTTTATGTCACTGAATGTAATGTCAAGGTTAAAGAATTTTAAAAGGAAAATAAACTGTCAGTAGGACTCCAACAAGGAGGCATAGTGGAATGTATGTATATCCAACTCAAGGTCTTAGGTGTAGCTCAGCTCAAGGACAACTTGCATGACAAGCGTGTGAAGCAGCAGGCTTGAAGAAAGGCTCTGCATAGCTCAGAACTCATGCAAGGTATTAAGGAAAGTTGAATTTGTTGATTGTAAGAAACAAAGGAAAATAATCAAAGACCAAGTTGTGAGTGAAAACATTCAATATTCATTATACCACACATAGCCTGCCACCTCACATTTCTGTTCCTTCTTTCTAGAAAGGGAAAATGAGAACTTTGGTAAAGCAGAGAGCATCATAGGGTACATGGGAACAAATTGTGGATTATAAAAAACAAAGGAAAAAAAACCTGTGGATTTCTTTCCCTCGTTCCTTTATTTTTATTTTAAAAATACACAGAAAGGTCTCTAAAAGTAATTTTAAAGCAAAAACAACAGTAACAACAACAAAAACACCAAAAAAAAACAAAACAAAACAAAAAAAAAAAACAAAACCAAAACTGTGCCCAGTGTCAGGTCATGCGTATGGCATGCTGTGATAAATTTATTTATGCAGCTCACAAAAGCACTGTTAGTAATGGGCAACTGTTACTGCAGCCACACATGCATAGACCTGACTGTCCTCTTTCAAGCAACAAATTTAGGGGGGAGATAACTTTAGCAGGAAGCAACTTACCAAGATAAACTGGAGACAGAGTGGGTTCTAATGGATCAGGGTTCTAAGGAAGTAGCACCTTGCTCATTTTAGCTAAGGAGTGACCTAAGCCATGGGTCATAAGACCCTAGGTGGTCAAGCCAGTTGAGATAAACATTGAAGCCTGCACAACCCTTTCTCTCTCCCATCATTTCTAATGTGCTTGGGAGATGACTAGGAATTTTAATTGGGAAGGAATGTACACCTATAATTCATTGCAACAGGAAACAGATTCATAGATTCATCTGGGTTCTTAGAGTCCTTTGGGTTTCTACTGATCTTCACTAGGGCACCCAGGAGAGAGCTAGGCTTTGGATATGGCAATTGCATTTCTCCACACTTGGCTGAACCCCCAACACCTGTATATAACTTAAAATCAAATGGCTTTTAACTGGGATTTTAATGTGTTTCTAAAGGAACAATAAAAATATTATTTAAAATGTAAACAGCACTCAGGTAAGGATAGAGAGAGGTCATAGACAGGGTGTGGGGAGCATTTCACACCTTATTTTACTATTTACATCTCTACTTTTCCTAGGTATTTTTTTTTACAACTTCCCTCCTTTTAAAATCCTTAAGGTTTTCTGAGGCCACAGCTAATTAATGATACCCTAACTCAGGATCCTTCCAAAGTCTTTCTCTGGCAAAAACAATCCTTTATACTACACCAAGGGAATGTTATTCAAATTTTACTCAAATCTTACATTTGCTTTAAGCCGCCCATGGCTACACATTCAGAAAGAAAAAAACAAAAACGAAAACACTCAATTTTAAGGGAAAAAAAGCTACGAAATAAACTTCATCTCCAATTAAGACTGAAATTACCCAAAGCAAAAAAGCATTAAAGCACTTGTGTTAATGGGATTGTGGCGGTCTTTCCTTCGCAGGAAAGACGTGTGGCCCAAACGCGTGGCCAGTCCTTCCCAGCACTCACCGAAGGTCGTGCCTGCTTCGGGCCTGCTCACCGAGGACACAATGACGAAGCCGAAGCCCTCATTCTCCCCACGCCGGATCTCCACGTCATAGGGCTGAACCACGGCGCTCACCACGCCACTTCCCCCGCCGCCACCGCTGCCAATGCCGCTGGTGCTGCCGCTGCCCGAGCTCACCGTGTTCAGCGAGTTCTGGCTGCCCTGGGGTGTGCGCTTCTCTTCAGTCAAAGAGGCCGGCTGGTTGCTACTGTGATGCGATGATGCTGGCGAGGGCACCTCATTCTCTGCTTTGGGGACTGCAAGAGAGATAGATATGTGTCTGAATCACTTGAAACTCCCAGAAAATGGGCCCAGCCACCATTTACACCACCTTTAAGAAACCACGAGGCTAACGATAGCACCTGACCTCACAGAAGTGGAACATAGGGATGGAAAGCAGACTCGCTCGGAAAACCTTAGTTGGGATCCAGGAAGGAGGATTCCCAAATGGTATATGCAGATAGCACAATGTTGACATCCATGCTGTCATTCAGTCTGCAGCATCATCCCATTCTGACAAAACTCCTCTCTGTACAGTGGAATCAGCTGCAGATCCTTGGAATGGGCTATACCAATGCCGGCTGCCATCTTGGTTTCATATACTCAGCCCCAGCAGTCTTGGACCTCGGAGTCACATTTCTGCTCAGTGTTTGCCTTTTGCGCCAGGCAGGGGATGGTCTGTGGATTGTACGTTTAAGGTTCTCCAAAGGTGGGATTTATGAAAACCCTGTGAGAGGTGATAGCCTTCTTCCTAGCTTCCAACTGTCTATCTACTCTAATCACAGAACTAGAGGCATTAGTCATCTTCTAAATTTAGGCACCATTGCAGTCATAAAGCACTCCTATATAGCCCATACCTTAGGTGGAACCAGGTGTGCCCAAATCAAAATGTGGACCATGAAGGCTGTAGCTATGACCATATCTATTGCCCAAAGCTTCTACTTTCATAGATATTTTTATTTATAATAAATGATGTGCCATGGTGCACATGTGGAGGTCAGCAGACAGCTTGGAGGCGATGGTTCTCTCCTTCTATCATGTGGGACCCAGGAACTGAACCCAAGTTGTCAAGCTTAGTGGCAAGCACCTTTACCCACTGATCCATCTCGCTGGCCCACAGAGATATTTTTAATTGTGGAAAAATGTGGAACATAACTTTTAATATTTAAACAGCTCTTAAGTATAACTCGCTGGTACAGGTGTAATGACACTGTTGTATAAATGTCATACCACCATTTCTAGAACTTTGTCAACTGTCACCATTAGGTAATGGCTCCCCTCTTATCCCTCCTACCAGCACCTGCCAATACCCATTCGACTTGCTCTCTGTATGTGACTTCTCCAGATACCTCATGAAACTGGAGGCACACAACATCCTCTCGTGATTACAGTATTCTATTTAGCATAATGTCTACATAGATTCAGTATGCTAAAAATCCAAAGTATTTAAGACTTTCAAAATAAAACTGAAACAATAAAATGAAATCACGCCTTACTATTTCACACCTGGGAAGCCAAATAGTTTAAAACTCATCTAAAAAAGTTTTAACTGACTGCCACTGTTGCACTTAGAGGGCCATGAATGAACTTTAAGGAAATAGTCTGTGATGGAACAGAACTATTTTCAATAGCTACAGTGAGATTTTTACACTGAAATTTAATAGATTCATTCTATAATTAATTATATACCACTTAAAATAAGCTACACTATTTTTTTAAGGTGCTGATTAATTTTATCTGGTAGGTATTTGTTACATAAGGCTATAGTTAATTCATACTATTTCATGTCCAATTTCTTTAGCAATATAATTGATACAACATTCAATCTTTCTCTTCTGTACTCTGTTGTACAGACTTTGAGTGGAGGGTGCATGCAAAGGTGAACAATTAGGGTGCATGTTTTCAGGAAGCTGGTCGGCCATTGGAACAGACATATTAAGGGCTGTCTCATGTTAAGGGCTCTCTCCCGTGGCAGAATCAGATACAGAAGTCAACTATGAGTCATGGCATGGCAGGAAGAGACTGCAAAACTGAAGGCAACTGGAAGAAGGTTCTTTTTGAGCTGAGCCTGAAAGGTATTTTAAGAACTGTAGTGGGATCAGAGATAGCCTAGAAGTGACCAGCTCCCTTCAGCTTTCCTGTAGAGAAGGAAAAAGGAAGGCACGGCTGAAGCCCCAGAGCGATGACAGGCTGTGGCGCCGCCACTAGCTCATTTTGCAGCCCAAACCTAATTTTCCTCTTTTAATTAGAAGCTACAACTTTTCTCATGCTAATGGCCTCTTTGGTTGTGGATTACCATCCACGGAAGGGGAAGGCTAAGTTCTGGTGAGGGGGCAGCACACAGGAAATGTATATTCAGCTAGCCTTCTTCCAGAAGGCTTTGCTGAGCATATGCAAATGGCACATTAAAGTACTTTTGAATGACAGCAGTTTTGCAGGGCTGGAGAGAAGCAAACCATCTGGAAATTCTGAGCTTGATCACATTTGCAGACATTTGCTAAAATAGAGGCTTAAGAAGGCAGAGGAGAAAGTGATAGAGCAGGGTCTAAAGGAATGAACAGAAAACATACCACCAAACACCACTTTACGCCGCACTGTGAGATTGACATGGCCTTGCTTGGCAGCTTGTTGCATAAGCTGGACCACGAGCTGGTGTGATTTTCCAATTACTGGTGTTCCATCCACACAGATTAATTCATCGCCAGACCTCAGGCGGCCATCTGTGTCAGCAGCACCCAGTGGTACGATGTGACCGATATAAATCTGTTGAGTAATTAGATGATGGATGAAACATTGTTCTGTTGGTTTACTATCAGACTGATAGCCCATACATCCTTGGGAATAATTCAATTCATCCATTCATATCTGCATGCACACCACAAACATTTATTAAGCACCCATTCTGTATAAGGCATTGTGCTGGGTGCTGCAGCAATTTTTAAGCAGCGGAAAGAATAACTATTTCTTGCAGCCAGCTCTTTGATGTTTATCTGTGATCTGCCAATCATGCACCTTTTCTTCTTCCCCTCTACGGAAATGAATCACTTTATTCCCCTTATTGATAAGACCTTTTCTCCTTTCTTCTCTACATTAAGAACTCTACTTTCATTAAGCTCCGCTAATTATATCAATACGACTTTTCTCTAAGGGTCTAGTACTATCTGCTTAGCAATAGGGAATACCACTAAAGATTATAAATGAATAAAAAAAGGAAGTGAAGTCTGGCTAGACAGGCCCATTTCTGCAGTCTTTCAGCACTTGGAGACAGAGGAATGCTCATGTTCAGTGTCTTGCTGTTTTGCCATTCACTATACGTGAGCTTAAATATTTGTGTGTGCTTTGTCTTCTCAGTAGACAATAATGCTGTAATTTCCTTTACTTGACATCTAGAGTTTATAAAGTGCTTGGACAAAAACAGTGGCTAAGAACATGAACAAACTGGGTCCTTCTCAGTCCCTCCACTTACTAGCTGTGACCTTGGGCCAGTTAATTAACCTTTCCAAGGCTTTTATTTTTTGGTTTGAAAAGTGGTAATACATTGTTGAATATGATGGATAAAGGAGAGACCAAAGGTTACAAGCCTTTAGCAGGGCACCTTGCACAGAGTAACTGCTCAGTGAATAACATGTATTATTCCAAAGGAAACAACATTCTTTAGTTCTCCTTTCAAAAGAACCCTGTGATGTTAAACTGAACTTACTATACAGTTAGAGAAACTGAGGTCCAGGAGATTCACTGTCTCTAGACCCTTGTTCAGGGTTCTTTTTCTATGTTTTTAAAGACAGGGTACTATTTTCTTGAATCTATTTTAGGTGCTGCCTAAAGAATTCCCCTGTGTGTGAATCTACTGCAGATACCACAGAATTGACCACAGGGTTGAGGTCACTGCTTTGTTAAAGAATGCCCAACCCCATTTTGTCACCTTTTTACTTTGTCCTCAATGAGGTTCCCCAGATGCTCTAGGCCCACACCACACCCTAAGGCAAACTTCAGCAGAAATCACTTCCCTTCTGCTTCAAGAAAAAAGAAGTCAGCATGAGGCCCATTTTGCTCAAGATGAAAGAGCAGGGACCACACCTAGCTGGACTGCAATCCTGGTGATCTGCATTGTACCAGTTTGCTTTGACGCCTTAGCAAACAGCACTGCAGAGAGTAGGAGACAAAGGACTCACAGGTTCCCCTGGCTCATTTCCACCCAGAATCCTAAATCCAAATCCGGTCTCTTTTCTCCAGAGGAAGATGTCCAGTTCCTGGTAATCTGGAACTGCAGAGAGGGAAGAAAGATTATTCACTTACACAGGAGAGGGGACCATGCTTCTAAGATGGACACAATTACAGGACCAGGACAGATGATGCATGCACAGATAAATGCTAACACAGGCAACAAAACAAAAGGATCTGGATGGGTAACAGCATACAACACTGGGCACAAGTAAACAGTAGGATTAGCTAGCTCTGTAGATCTTCAAAGAACCATCACTGTCTGATAATTTCTAATCCAGTCCATGACATCATAGTCAGCTAAGCCAGGAATCAGCAATGACCTCTCTCCTCAGTAGTGCTACAAGGGGAATTGAGTAAATTAAAATCACCATGTGCTACATGGCAAGGCAGGTGTCCATGAATAGAATTCATGTGAAGTGAGAGTCCCCTCCTGCGAAGCTGGCTCTGCGAGTTTGGAAGTCCATTAAATGACTTGATATTTTATCAACTAGAGAGCAAGAATTATGGCTTGGGATAAAAAGCATTTCTGACTTATTTTTGAGTTGCTTTCTTCCCTGCTAAGATAATTAATATCAGCAACACCAATAATTTGATATATTAGATCAGTTTTGAAAAAAAGAATGCTCTCAAGGACTGTGGGATGTTTATCTCAAGGGTAGAGAACCTGCCTATCATTCACAAAGCCTTGGGTTTAATCCCCTGCACCATAACAAAACAAAACCCTAGTATTTGCAAATACAGAGCTTAAATTAATTTCAATACTAGTGCCAAAAAATAGCTACCTTGATTCTACAGCTTTAGAATCAAGTGATGACAAAAAGTTCTCTATCAACTAACCACACTTCATCGCTAAAAATCACTGCTTTTTTCTTAATTTGCTTATAATATTTAAATGTTACAAGTATTAACTTATTATCCAGTAACTTGCTATTTTATGTTTATTTCAGTAATGGTCTAGCGCTTTAAAATAAAGCTCTCACTTTTTAAGAGAGAGGTAATTTTCAGAAGAAAATGTTCACTGTACACAGTCATTCCATGTAACACATTTTGTTACTTCATACCAAGATAATAAAAGGGTTACTTTCACTTCCTTCTTATTTAATATTCTAATGAACACTCTAGGTGTTTTCTAATCTATAAAGTGATAAAACTTTTATTTAAGGAGACTGTAGTTGCAGTGAGTCCTAAAGGAAATTTAAAATTACTGTTCTAAATACTTTCCAATTTGTTTAATTAATTGTATTTTGGGCTGAAGGGGTATGTAAGCCTGAAAATTTAATTCTTGTCTTCTCTAATTATGTACAAAGGGATAAGGAGAAGAAAGTGGTTATTTAGATTTCACTCTGGGGAGAAATGCCCCCTTTTAGTGACTCACTTGCCTAAGATGTATAGTAAATGAATAAACCAAGAGAGAAACAAAAGGGACAGTTAAGTATAAGTCAGATCTTGAATCTTCTATTTTGCTTAAGCTGTCTTTATTATGGGACTCACACTGGGGAGAAATGCCCCTTTTTAGTGACTCACCTGCCTAAGATATATAGTAAATGAATAAACCAAGCGAGAAACAAAAGGGACAGGTAAGTATAAGCCAGATCTTGAATCTGCTATTTTGCTTAAGCTGTCTTTATTCTGGGACTCTAAGTGGATTTTAAAAATTTAATTCTTGTTTATTATAATCACTGAAGCTAACCTGCAAAATACCAAAGAAGATGATCTCAGGTATATCATAGAGCTCTCTCTCTCTCTCTCTCTCTCTCTCTCTCTCACACACACACACACACACACACGCACATGCACACACAAAAAACTGGACACTAATGTTTTCTTGGACACACTAAAGTAGCAATAATCTTCTGTTTGAGTAGCTGGGTAAACGATATTTGCTCTTAACTGCCTCACTGAAACAACACATTAAATCAAGGGATGTTTTGTCTTTGGTTCACCAGGGTAGGAGAATTAGTACCCTGAAAGACTACTGGGCACACAGCAGCTGGCAGAGCCAATCTGAAGTGGTTGAGCTCAAGGCCTTTCTGTGAACAATGAAAGGGCCTCCACAAGGACCTCCAGCCCAGACCCAACGTTTTCAGCATCATTTAACACAGTAACATTTGTCCATCCTATAGGGACACCAAAATGTGGCACATTTCTGCCTTATGTTGCACATTAGCTGTCAGCAGCCATCATGGTATGGGGAGGTAAGCCAAAAGATTGAGGCCTACCAAGCTAGTCCACCAGAAAAAAGCATTTGCTTCCTTCCAAGAATCAATAGGAAAATGACACATTTATTTAAAGACTTTTATGTTAAAAAGTTAGATGCCCTGTGACACTTGGGATGTTGAAGACATTAACAATGAGCTAGGAAACACAGACACAAACACCAATACAGACATGTTACAAGGAAAGTGTTTTGGTATTTTAAATTTAGTATATTAACTATTTCATTTTTCCACCAACTAAACACCATTTACTCAATAGATATGAGTATTGGTGGTGGGTGAATCAGTTTTGAAATGCAGTATGAGATGCAAAAATTTCTCTCCTGTGATGCTGTTTCATATAGGAGAGATAAGGAATTACTCCCCAAAACATTTCATTCTCTACTCTGGACAGAATTATACTTTTCGAAAGCAGCAGGACGGGGCCATCTTCCTGACACTACTATCACTTTATCATTGTTGTTACTGGGATTTTAGAGAGGTCAATCTTGCGGAGCTTGTAGTTCTTCTCCAGGTGTTTGCATCTTTTTTGAGACAGGGTCTCCAGTGGGCCTGGAACTCGCTAGATAGACCAGGTAGGCCTCAAGCTCGCAAAGATTCACCTGCCTCTGCCTCTCAAGTTCTGGGAGTAAAGGCAGGCGCCGCCAAGTCCGACCAGTTGTTTTCCTCTTTAAATCCTCACAGAGCAAACAATCTCAGTAGTTAATCTGTTTTTGGTAATGGCAGTGGCAATTTAACAAGGGAGCCAAAAGACTTTCCTTGATAGTTAGCAAGAAGGGAGTCACCAGACTCTGGTGTCTCCAGCACTACAGACACAACATCACAGACTTTGTGAAAACATGCCTATCACTTCCTAGCTTCATTGTCTTTGGTTTATGCGCATGGAACTTTTATCCTCCCTCACTTTCCTGGACTTCTCCCCAGAACCCCCAGACTGATGAGACCATCAAACAGGATGAATGATAATGGAGAAACACACGTTTACAGCAGATCCTTACTCTGACATTCTCCAAAATTCGTGGAATTGATTTCTCTGTCTCTTTCACCCTTGCTCAGTCCCGATGCAGGCGAAGGTGACATAGCTGGAATATTAATTTCACAGTTGTGCAAAGCTTAATGTATATTCTTCTTAGTTCATTTTAATTTAGTCATGATTGATAAGGGATGTGTGATTCAACTTTCACAATACAAGTCATGGCTGCTATGGGCTTTAAAGGACTAGAGTTTGATTCTGCTTTTCACTTTCTTTTTTGTTTACATGGTGCTTTCCTTGTCAAAAAGTTAGAATTTCTAATTGAACCACAGAGAGTTTCCTGTGATTCCTGTTACTATCTTAGGCTCCTTATGTTTAATTAGACTCTAAAGCACGCAATCTTGAATGACCTTGCTTCAATTTGTCATGAGCTGTAGAAGGATGTCTAAACCCTCATCGTCTTCAGAAAAAATGTAAGCATATTTGCGGCACTACTGCTTGGCAGCAGTTAGGAGAATATCGGTTCTTGATAGAAATTATTCTTATACTAAAACATGCCTTGGTGAATTCTAGGCAGTTCAAACCTGCATACGCTTATACTGGAGATGCAATCACTGAATCTCTCAAATCTGAACAAACACACAAATAGGAACCATTATAAATATCTTAAAATCCAGAAATACACTCCTTAAATACACTGTGATAAAAAAAAAAAAGCTTAGTTTCCAGTGTTAAACTTGTAAGCGTGTCTCTCTAAAGGATAGGTTTATAATATGACAGCTTTGGCTGTTTACTTTTCAAGGTATATTACAAACAGGCAGAAATTTCATTTCAGTAAACGCTGCTGGATACGAGCTAACTGACCGGAACATTTACTAATAAGACCACATCATGTCATTTTTAAAGACATGGGCCCAACTGGTAGGTTATCTAGAGAAAATACAAAACAGGCAACATGGCTTTTAAAGGACTTCAATGGTTGTCTTTATTTTTAATTAAACACTGAAATCCTTCAGAGGGATTCATTAACACATCTGTAATTCAGATTGATTCATTTTGACACTGCTATTTTGGCAGTTAGCCAAATCGAGAGGATGGTATTTCTATATTAAACATCTCGACCATGGAAAGGAAGGTGGTCAGTTATGTGTTCATCTTTACGTTGCCCTTAACAAGGATGTCAATAAAAGCAAAAGTTATTTTCAACATAAAAGGGAAAATGTGTGTAATTAATGTACTGTTACTTCAATTTTCCTACAGTGTTTGCTTATTTTATTACGAAAGGATAGGGAGAGAATTCCATCAGGACTACATGTTATTATTTTTAAAATGTCCTTAAAAGACAAGAATACAAGACAACTTAGAGCAATGGGAGAAACTGATTTGGGATAAAGCAAAACACTGATTCAAAGACAAGACTGATGTAGCTTCATCAGTGGACAGAAGAAAATCTGTGACAGATAGAGAATAATTACCAGGGGTAGGAGTGGGCTCATTATTATTCTCATTTAGCAGTGAGTTAGAAATCCATGTGGATCTTAACAGCCGTTAGCTTACTACTATTACTCAATTACAGAGCTTCCAATCACCAAAAAGAAATTGATTCTCAGTTGTGCCGCTGTATCTGATTGCTTAGACATTTAAGAAAGTGAAGAACAAGACTGAAACCATTCCAAATGTTTCGGTCTGACAGCCGTTTGAGCAACGTCACTGCTTGTAAAGCAGCTGGTTATGGCCACACTGCACATTCTTCTTGCTTCTATTCTTGGTGAAAACTTTCTTGCAAGTTGAATAAAACATCCAAATCCTAAGAAATAATACTGCCATTGGGGGGAAAACGAGCCTACCACTGAACAACTTCATGAAGTGTCCTATCAATCTGGAGGTCCTACAAACATTTCAGAGCATGATTTATTTTATCACATCGAGATCTGTACATGGAAAACTCAATCATAAATGTGTACGATACTGAGAAAGCAACTGCTTTCAATAAAGCAATTGCTCAACATCCCCTAAAGTTGGATCACTGACTGGAGCAACCACATGGTTAGAGAGAGAAATGTGAACAGAAAATGGAAGATTCCCCTCTGGAAGGCATTTTCTCCAGGTATTTTAAAGGGAAATCATCACAACCAGAAATGAGATGCAGTATGGAGCCTTGGTTTATACCAGCTGGGTGTCCCGAATCTGAAAACCTAAACGGCTGCAGAGGCTGCAGCTCTGTAAGTACTGATGTAACACAAGTGGAACACTCCATACCTTAAAACTATGTTCATGTACAAAATTGTTAGAAATACTGTCTAAAATGACTTTCTGCCTATGTGTTTAAGGGATATATGAAATATAAATGGATTTGAAGTTTAGAATCCCCAGACTGTCTCATTATGGATAAACAAGTATTTCAGGATAAGAAATCTGAAACTGGAAGCATTGCATTTCTGGTCCCAAGCATTTTCCATAAAGGATGCTCAACTTGGTACTCAGCATCTGCTGCATGTGTGGGAGATTCCAAAAGGAACTTCACTCCCTTCAGCCTGGCCTCCAGAGTACTTAAGCAGTATCTTTCTAGTCCAGGGACTAAATAAATCCCTTTTCAAATTAGCTGGCTTTAGTCAGCATAGTGAGTTCTTAGTCAGTGCAGCCTATACAGCTACATGGAGGGTGATGATATTCCTCCCTCAGAGAAAGGATGGAGGGCCTCTGAGAGACTTCTAACTGTTGAAAATCAACAAGAGGCAAGGCTCTCATGGGTCCCCTAATTGTTGAGTTTTTAACACAAGCATGTGGTCAACTCTCCATTTCAGGCAGGGCTGCTGGCTTTACTCCCTTTTTTAATTATAGTTACAGAATCGAAATCCCTCAACCCATCATTTAGCCAGCAAAGACATGCTGCACAGCCAAGTCAGAGTGATGGGTGAGAGGAGGAGGTACCCCTAACGTCTTACACAACTCCATGCCACAAATTCCATGGAGGCCTCACCTGAGAGGTGACCACAATTGTCACTAGGAACCAAACCCATGCTGAAGGTGGCCAGGCAAAACAGTGCTATTTTCTCTTCTAGCTTCTCTTGAGTCCTGATGCTCTCCCTCCTCACACATTCTGCCCCCTCCTACTGCACACTGACCAGCCACAGCCAGGAGAAAAGAGCAGAAACAATGTCTCCAAAAGGGCCAAACTACAACTGCTTGGTCTGGAACATTTAGAACTTCCATTGGAGAGGTGAGGAATTCTGATGGGTAAATAGTCTCTGGTCATCATTTTATAACAAAAAGACAGAAGTGAAATATGAAAGGGATTTTAGGGTTATACATGCTGAGAAGTTCTAAAGTCCACTTCCCCAGTACATTTCAATTTAAAAAAGGTAAAAACCAAAGGACTTACCTAACCACTGTATAAATAATTAAGCCATAATCATTCTCAGTTTTTCCTTTATCCTTTTGTGAGAGAAATGTTTGCAAAGAATGCTAAAGGTAAAGCAAAATATTACCAGTATTTTAAAATCTACAAGGCCACCGAGAAAGCATTTCCTCCCTTCTCATGAGCCCTACAACCACATGTATGTTCCATTGTACATCAGACCCACGTCAGAAGACATGAGCTCAGTGCATGCCACAGTTTTCACTTGAGAAAGAGTTAAGAGACAGAAGTTCTTACCAACCATTTCTTTGAAGAGAAAAACATACCCACTGTTACTCAGGCTTTGGATTTTACCCCTTCCTCAGTGTGAAGACCTCATGACACCTACAAAAGTCAAGAGCGGTCTAGTGGCTCTGAGGAGCTTCGTTTCCACCCTCATTTACTCCCTGTACCTTTCTACATTCAGTAAGAGGAAGGCAGCTTCCTGGAAGGGGCCAGGGAAGGCAGGAAGCCAGGTGTTACTCACGTCGGTTTTCATACATGCTCCTGGACTGGGCCCAGATTTTAAAAGGATCTGGTTTTTTCTGCCCAGAGCTGTCAGTCTGATCTGGAGTGGGAGCCTCTGCTGGTGGATACTCGGGGAGCACCTGTGTGCTGTGGCTTGGGGATGCTGTGTGCAGGCTCCGGTGACTGGACACGCTGTGCTGAGAGCTGTTCTGGCTGTCTTTCCTCTCCAGTGGCTGCTGTAAGAGAGCAAGTGAGAGGGCCAAGAAGGAAGAGTGATGGCGGCTGCTCCAGTGGGCACTTCTCCCAGCCTGCCTTTGCTCAGCACTTCTAAACACACCACATAAATATATCATCAACGTTCTGGCTTCTACTGTTCTCCAGCTAATGCTGAATGCAGATAAATCCTCAAGTGATTGGCAGAAATATAGCAGAGCTGACCAGACAAAAAGACATTAAGCACAGACCATGCTGTTCTCTGGGCTGTAGCGGGAAACAAATCTGATTTTCATTGTAAGTTCTCGGCTAAGACACTGGGCTTTTTTATTGCAAGATGCATCAGTCTTAAAACCCTCATTTCTTGACAAAAATATGTGACACAAAATGCCATAAGTAGTTCAGCTGTAAGACTGTAATATCCTCAAGAAATACAATCAGGGCTAAGCCTGCTCTTTAGGGCTCCATATGCTGCATTTTTTAATAATAAAATACCAGACTCCTTTCTAAAGGCTTGCTATCAGACCTTTTAGCTCAACAGAAACAGAGGTGGGATCTTTAAGAAATCATGAAGAACAGTATAGAGCACCGGTACCCATACATAGATAAATATAAGGAGCTTTCATAATTCTTAGTGAGTCCATTTTAAAGGCATGTTTATTTTTCCCTCTTGAACTGCTAATACTACTACTATTGATTGAAAAATCAAGATCAAACTTGATATGTTTATAGGTGTGGCCCTGTGGGGGGTGAGCCTTCTTAGACTTGCAACTTGTCCAAAGTATAAATAGTCTTCAAAGGGGAATATCACTTAAATTCAAGGGCATAATCAAGTGCTGGCTCATTAAAACCAGTTCAGCACAGGCATTTTATGAGATGTTCTCTGGGTGGTAACAGAAAGGAAAACTCTCTAGGAGATAAAATTTAGGGGTGGGATGAGGGTTTGTAAAACACTTTTAATTCTTATTTTCTTCAGTAATGGTCTCACCCATGCAAATACAATGCTGGAGTTCTTTTCAAGACAGCATGTTACCAAACATATGTGTTTAAGTGTAAAGAGCTAGAGGGCAGAAATGGTGGTCTCCATCCCCTCTGGTACATCCTGTAGAGCTATGCTTTGACAGAGGTTTGTAAGATCTTCGACTGTGAATGTTCTAGTCCCCAGGCATCCTTCCATCAGGTGTTACCATCGGTCTTACTTCCTTGCTCTCCCCCAGGTATCCTCAATCTTTCATTTCATTTAGTCTTCAAGGACCTCCTATTTCTTCCCTTTTTAGTCCTTGCTTTTAAATAAGTATATGAAGAAAGTTCAGAGAGGACAAATACTTGATTTGTTCCCTGTGTGTGCATTTCTGTGCAGAGATACACGTGTGTGTGTCGGGGGGTGTAAGCATGCGTGTATATACATGTGGAAGTCAGTGGGCAACCTTCCAGCCTTTGTTTGAGACAAGGTCTCTTATTGGCCTGGAACTTCACCAAGTAGGCTTGGCTAGTTGGCTAGCAAGCCCCAGTGACCACATAGTCTCTACCTCCCATCTCCCATCGCTGGCACTAACGTGCCTGGCTTTTTTTTATGTGGGTTTTGAGGACTGAACTTAGGTCCTCACGTTTGTGAGGTGAGCACTTTACTGACTCATCTCATCAGACCCTGTTCTATGACAGTTAAAACTACAAGAGCATTAATTCACTCACATTCAAGGGGATGCCATACACTGGTAAAGATGCAAGAAAAACATAATGGCGAACACCAACACTGCATCACCCTTATTTTCTTTAGAGGATAAAGCACTCAGTTCTGTGTTAGATAGACTGGCATTTCTGTAACTTGACATACTCTGCCACTTCTAAGGTCCTTCCCAACAGTGATTTCAGCTCTTAGGGCCTGATATCCTGCCCTTGGAGGCAATATCTGCCCTGTCCGTTCCCCGAGAGACACGCTGAAGATACCAGGGTGAGAACAGTACCCACTCTCTTTTGGATGTGCGTGGCACTTTCTTTTTCCCTTTTATGTGTCCCCTTCAAGACTTTCAATCATAAAGCATGTACACCATCAGCTCACTGTCAGTGAACATAGACCACAGTATTTAGAAAAAGTTGGAATTATGGGTAGGTTTCTCCCTTAAACTTTCATACTTTTCAGCAGTGCTTATGTTTTTATTTCTAATACACAGGGAATATTTTGTAAGTAGGAAAAAAATTTAAAGTTATTTTCATTTTGAAATGAACTTGGTAACCAGAATTAATGGAGACTAGGACTTTGACTTTTTTGGGGGGTACTCTAAATTCAAAAACAATTCAATAGGAGCTGGGCTTGCCTGGAGAGTCATAGGTGGCCATTCAAATGCCCATCCTCTTCTTGTTCCTTCCAAGAGTCTCTGGTAGCTGCTGTATTGTAGAAGCCCATCAACACTGAATTCATTTCACAGCTGAAGGCTCTAGTCTCCAGGCTGCCATCACTCACCCCCAAGACTTGCATGCTACAGTATACCTGGAAGACTGCAGCTGTTTGTTTCATGGGGTTACTTTGTAATGAGTATCCCACTGACTTCTCCGGACCCTGCCCCTGGAAAGCTAACTTGACCCTGTTCCATTTGATCACTTTTCCTTCCTGTCCCATTGAGAGAGTCTGATGAAAGTGCTGGACATTTCTGTTGTAAAATATGTCCACATGCTTTTACACAGTTAGTGGTTGAGTTGCAAATGCCCCATGGACTCATGTATTTAAGTGCTTAGTCCCTAGCTGGTGGTGCCGTTTGGGGAGGCGGTGGAACCTTTGGGATGTGTGGCCTAGTAGTGGATCTCTTGGGGCGGGGCCCTGATGATGCTATCCCATTCTGGTGCCAGCCTGACCTTTTTATTTGTCTGTTACTATGCTGTGAACAGACACCTCAGGTTCCTGCTGACAGGGACCGAGTTGCTCCTGCAGTCATACCTTCTCAGCATGTTGAAATCCCCGGAGGTCATGAGCCAATATACACTTTCCTCCCTTAAGTTGCTTCTGTCAGGAATTTGGTCACACTGATGCGAAAAGTCATGCACACACCTCCACAGATGTTGCTCACAGGTACGGTATGTCACATCATGGGTTTCTAAGGCCTGTAACATCCATCCCAGTATAACAAATCTCTTGACACAGAGGACTGAGCCTTAAGTTTAACTGGAGAGATGGCTGAGTCACAAGGGAGTATGCATATGAAGTCTACTGGAAACACTTGGGCCATTTTTCAAATCAAAACAGCCTTTCTCATTGCCCCCATCAAAGACTCATGTAGGTCAGATGTAATACAAAATGACGGACATAATTGGAGTAAGAAGGCAAAGTCACACCTCCAACAAACTGTACCTCGGAGTCCCTTTAAATGCATCTAACTTTGTCCCTCAATTCGGAAAGTAAGAGTGAAGGGGCATCCTCAGAATGTGCTCCTAAAGCTGTTCCAACATGGAGCCATCGCTCACTAGCTTAACTTGATGGCATATTAAAGGTCCATGTGCCCCGAAATCTGGAAGTTTCCTGGACTTTCACCTGGTAAAATTTAACCTTGCTCTACCATTTTAATTTTGAAAGTCAATTATAAAAAATGCTTAATTTAAAGATATATTCTATACTGAGAATCTTGGTTTTTTTGAAGTTGTACTCTGTGGTATATGTGCAAAAATTTCAAAAGATGATTTTTTAAATTTTCTGTGATGTCCTTTATTTGGTTAGAGCCCAAAATGTCCAAGGGAAAAACAGTATTTATAGAGATCTCAAATTAAAGTCCGTCTTTCTTTCTTTCTTTCTTTCTTTCTTTCTTTCTTTCTTTCTTTCTTTCTTTCTTTCTTTCTTTCTTTCTTTCTTAAATGTGTGTGTATACACGTGTGCTTGGCAGGTGCATGTGTGGGTGGTGTGGAGGCCAGAGGTCAACTTCGCACGTTGTTCCTCAGGTGCCATGAACTTTGAATCTTTTGAGACAGTGTCTCTTATGTCCCTGATTATGCTAGGCAGGCTGACCATCAAGCCTAAGTTAGTTGTCTGTCTGAGCCTCCCCAGTGCTGGATGATACAGGTGTACCATGATGCATGTCTTTTTTTGACATGGATGATGGGGACTGAACTTAGGACCCCAGGCTTGTGCAGCGGGTACTTTACCAACTGAGCTATCTTCCTAGCCCCCTAAAGTTAGTTTGTATGACTTTTCTGCATTATCTCCCAAAAGACTTGGGGCATGGATGTAAATTCACTTCTAAACTCAGAGAGCACAGGGTCAGATTTGCATTACATGTGGTTGTCTTTCACCTGCTCTTCTTTAAGTTTTGCTCATTTTGGGTGTGCATGTGTGTGTGTGTGGCTCGGGGGTGGGGGGACATTGTTAAGACAGGCTTTTACTATGTAGCCCAGGCTGGGCTCAACTCTGGGTTCTCCTGCCCCTGCCTCTGAGTGCTGGGATTACAAGTGCGTGCTACCTTCATCTCTAGGCCAAGACAAGCAACTATAACAATGTACCTTCAGGCCTATAAAGGAACCCTGTGCATGCTAAGCACACAGATGGAGAGAAACACCTAGCACACCAACAATGGAACAGCAGACCAGCCTGCAGTAATTACCTGCAACACAGTTATTCACTCTACTAACAAATACAAGTTGATAACGCATACTGTGCCACACACTAGGAGATGGGCAAATAAAGAGAGACAGCTACCTAACTGCCAAGAAGCTATATCTGAGTGTGTAGCTAATGTGTGTGAATGTGTGTATATAGATAGAAATTAACCACATATTTGAAATATTCTGAAAACAACATAGTACAATGTCCTGTAGATAACAAGTCTAAGGAGGGGCCGGTCGAAGAGTATCTCAGTAATGAACATAGCATGTTCTAAGTCTCAAGGCAAAAATGAGCTTGGTGTTTGAAGACAGAACAGCTAGCATAGCACACAAGGGAATGGGGAAGCTTGACATGAACTTGGAAGCCAAATAATGCAAGTGCTTTATATGCCCAAGGATGGGCTTCATTCTTAGCTTTAGAAGAGGAATTCATTTGTGC